GGACAGCTGTTAACTAAGCAAGGAGAGGCAGCTGCATTTGATATACAGCCTGCACCCCAGAATTTGTTGAGGCAAAAGATACTTAAGTGTTTCCTATAGAACAGATGTGGGCCAGGCAGGAGAGAGGGCCATTTAGAAGCCATCTTAAAGGGACTTTGCCCAAGATGGCCACCTGAAGGGACAAGGGACCAATCAGGTAGTAGGGGATTCCAGAAACCAGGGGCTGTAGGAGCAATTGAAAGTAGCAAGGCTAAAGCATAACCAACTAGGTCAAGCAAGGGGACTGCCGGTAAGAGAGGCCCACAAAAGCATTGCATGGCGGAAAGAAGTCAGCTAAACTCTCATCAAGCTCAGAGACTACCAATGCCAGATGACAAAGGGTCCTTTCCTGACCCATCTCTACTCTTACAACCCTCCTCCACCAACACTGATGGGTCTGAAGCCTGTGAGGGGGGTGGGAGGGAGAAAAAGGAAGATGGAGAAATGGAGAAGTCAACCACTCTCCTCTCCAAAAATGGGAGCCTAAACGAAACTAGAGAAGGGGTCGCTTTCACTTTGAATTAAGCTCAGAGTTTTGACTATTAATGTGAACTGGACATTTAGGCTATTGCATAAGTTTGTCCTCATGACTAGATGTAATCCAAGGGCAAGCAAAGATTTCCAGAAAGTGGGGATGAAGACATAAAGCTGTTTTATGGCTGCACTAGGCTTCCTGAATGCCACCCTGCATGTTCAGTGTAATAGTTACACATTCAAAGCTGAGCACAGCACCTGGCACAGAGCCAATGCTTGGTACAGCAGCTGTTAAGACTGTTACAAATAATGTTGGAATTCAAAGGGAAGCAGATAGGAGCTGAATGTGAAGACAGCTTTGCTGTCAAGTTGTCAGGGATGGCCTGAGTAGAGGATCTGGGAAGTAATGAGTTCTTTGTTGTGGAGATGCTGACAGGGCAGAGATGGGGAGGGAATCAGAGCCACAGATGTGGGAGTGAGCCTGAGAATCTGTGATTCTAGCTTCTCTCTCACAGCCTCTACTCTCTCCTCTATAGGGATGACTTTAGCCCTGGCCTCTCTCATGAGTTTCAATCCCTCATTTCTTCTTGGGAGTAACTCCCCATCTGTCCACTGATATTTCTATGTGGCCAATTCACCATCACTTCCAATTCAGCCCATCTAAATGTAGCTCTTTATTTTTTTCTCCACCCAGCTCTCCTTCCACACAAACCCCGAATTCCGTTTCTGTACTTACATACTTCTCTCAGGCTGATTGTCCACATCAATTTCATTCATTTCTTAAACTCAGATGGGCATAAACTCTTAATACTTCCCTTGAGATTGCTCTCTCTTTGGCCTCACCCTCCCGATTTCTATGACCACCATCATCACTCAGATCTTTATCATCTCATAAGATAAGCTCCTAAACAATCTCCCTGCTCCCTACATTTTCCCCTTGGAATCCTTAGCATGCCCAGGTCAGTCTAATCTCCAAACACAGTTCTGGTGGTGACATATAAACCTTTGATACATACTTGCTTCCTAAGGAATAACATACAAATTTCTCAGCTCATGTTCAGAAGTCTTGCACAATTGGGTTTTTCCAACCTGCTTTTCCAGCCTTATCTAAAACGGTTCAACTCGCCTCTAATTCAAAGATCACTCTCAGCCTGGTCAGTGCTAGACGTAAAGACACACAGATGAAAGGCATTCCTGACCCTGAGGTGCTCAAAGATTTGGTGGTAAGATAGAGGGGTAAATAATTAACCAAAGAACACAATCAGCGGTAAGATAAAGAACACTGCTCGTCCTCATAGCCCCATTCCATCAGAAATTATCTGTTCACTGTCCCTGAATATAGGCCTAGGCTTTCCTACCTCCAGGTTCTTCTTTGGGCTCTTTTCTCCTTCTTTCTCATCTAAACACTTTCCACTGTTAAAGGCCCAGCTCCTAGCCCCCTGCTTTGAGAACTCTGATGCCCAGGCAAGGATCTCACCCTCTCTCCTTTGGAGCTGACTGGTCCCACTGAATGACTCCTACTTCTCCTGTATGTCTCTCAGCTTAGATGTTTCATTCTCCAAGGTCCTCTCTGACATGGTCCCCACCTACATCCCAAATCTGGGTTAGATGCACCTCCTCAGTGTTCCCATGGCACCTCATCATTCTCCTAGTGTTATCCTCTTCATGCTGCTTGCACTTGACCTCTCCCATTAAACTCTGAGCATCTTGAAGGCAGGCAGAAAGTGCATGGATTTGTTTACAGTTGAACACCATGCTCCAACATTGGGTTAGCACATCTTAGTAGTTCAATATGAAAGGGAAGGAGAAAATATTAGGTTGGTGCAAAAGTAACTGAGGTTTTTGCATTGTTAAAATCTGCCTTTGATATTGAAATACATTTTAAAATAAATGTAATTATGTTATATATCATTTTAATGCGCATTTCTTGGTTTATATTTTTTTGCTAGTGACTTATTACTTGCTGTTTATTTTATATGTATTTCAGGCTATGGAAATGATGTTAGACAAAAAGCAAATTCGAGCGATTTTCTTATTCGAGTTCAAAACGGGTCGTTAAGCAGCAGAAACAACTCTCAACATCAACAACACATTTGACCCAGGAACTGCTAACAAACGTACAATGTGGTGATGGTTCAAGAAGTTTTGCAAAGGAAACAAGAGCCTTGAAGATGAGGAGCACAGTGGCCAGTCATCGGAAGTTGACAATGACCAACTGGAGCCATCATCGAAGCTGATCCTCTTACAACTACATGAGAAGTTGCCGAAGAACTCAATGTCGACCATTCTACGATCGTTCGGCATTTGAAGCAAATTGAAAAGGTGAAAAAGCTCGATAAGTGGGTGCCTCATGAGCTGACCACAAATCAAAAAAATCGTTTTGAAGTGTCGTCTTCTCTTATTCTATGCAATAGCAAGGAAACATGTTTCAATTGGATTGTGACGTGTGACGAAAAATGGATTTTATACAATTGGTGATGACCAGCTCAGTGGTTGGCCCGAGAAGAATCTCCAAAGCATTTCCCAAAGTAAACTTGCACCAAAAAAAGGTAATGGTCGGGCCGGCCCAGTGGCGCGATGGTTAAGAACTGGCTTGGGACGCCAGAGGACCCCGGTTCGGATCCCACATATGAGGGCCAGTGACACTGCCCTCCGCAGCTAAGATGCTGAACAACAGCTCAACCTG